TATATATATTAAGAGTAAATTATCTGTTATCTGCTCCTGATCATGTTGTAGACGAGCGGTTTGTGCAAGGACGAAAAGGACGTCATCTCAAGCGGTAGAGCTATCCGTATCGCCCATCTTGTCCCACATTCCGACAAGTCGGTATAGTTAAACGCTGGGAGAAACGCACATATGGAGACGTGTGATATGGACCTAAATGTCGAATTTATAAAAACCATACCTATCCTTCTTATTTTGTGTTTGTTTAGTCTTACGATTTATTCCGCCATCCGTGTCAGTCGCAGGCACTTAATATATCGATAATCATGAAAGGTATATATTTGACATCGCTATCAAGCAACGACTCAGGCAGACCCAGTACACACAACACCATGTTTACTCGTACTAAACCCAGCAATTGCCTTTGGAAAAAACCTGGACACATAAACTGTCCGATTATACTAGCGATGCCGTAGCTATAGGTAATTAATGCATGGGCCCACAATGTCATGGTGGTACGCGTGTCGAGAGGTTTGGGCAGTATCATTTAGCGGGGCAAATGCCACTGGCGGGGTTCTTCATTATGTCGTCATCTCAGTGTCGTACCTTACAAATATGTCTGATGTCATGTGTATTATGGGCAGTTCTTTTATGTAAAAGAGCTCTTTGATGACTAATTATCAGGAGTAAGATAATATATGATCCTATATTATCTACTCCTGTAATTATGGTCATTATTGAATTTTGCAATTGTAATAGAGGATGGTCTTATTTCGTCCGCACCACTAAAAAGGTCACGTGCCGTTTACCTCCAAGTAACTGCCAAGAAATAGCATCTACTTAGAATACTGTAGCTTCGGAAGGGAAGGAACAACTTTCTTCTAGGATTTGAGGTAATTAAAAAAAAACAATAAGAAAGGGCATCCCCCATCCAGAAGGGGACACCAACTTCCCTGGATCTACCCTCTCCCACCGCTTCCGCGATACGGATGTTCAACATACGGACACAAGTACCAATAATTATAGCAATCTATAGCCAATTTTTCTCTCCACCTACTTTATCCTTTTAGCAAAAACGCTGGTGGTTCCGCAGTAGGATAATCAACTACTGTCGGTCTGGTCTCTATATCACTGGAAGAATAAAAGCGGCCATTGATGCCATTGATCACCATCAAAATACATGACCGTAACTTCTATGAGTAGGATGGGTATAGCCGCCCTCTGGATTTTTTAGAAACATGAAATAAAATATATCTATGAAGGGCCGTAGCTAACTCATTTTGGCTGGAGGTACAATCTCAGGCGCTGTTAATGTTTGCTCATGGCCTTATTTCCCTAACCCTAACCCTAACCCTAACCCTAACACTAGTGCTGCCATGTAGCGGCACCCTCCCTCTACGCCCGGGGGAAATTGACCCCGATAACCAGTAGACGTGTACTGCTATCTACCGGAAATCTCTCTTGTGCCGTTGTTAGTTGGCAGATGTGAAATGTCACAGAATGAATGTAAATATCATTAATCATTTGATTTTCGCCTAGTTACCAAACCTCGCTCTATTTATTCATAACCGATAACTATACCACGAAGAGTAATGAATTATGCATTTGGACAGCATGATAAACACTGCGTTTATAGCGATAAATGATTAGCAGACATAATTACGATATATTATATATCATACGATTTACAACTTACGACACGCAACGCTTATATAATGTACGGGCTTTCATATCGACTCAAGTAGTGAGTGCTGCGTAAGATGTTTGTTCAACGAATTTCTACACTCAGGTACATGTTTATCTATTGTATTAATTGTATTGCATATTATTTGTATATA